ACACTTGCACTCGTACCCCGCTATCGATCGTGCGCTATTGTCTCACCTACAGACTGATAACATTCACTAAACTTTCTGTATCTATGAGGCTTACAGTAATTTAGGACACACGTAATTTGATTCTTAACTAAACAAAGTTTCAAATGATGCATATCATAGCCGGAAGTTTTTTTTTATTGCTTAGGTGGGTGGACTAGCTCACAGCCCACCTGGTGTTAAGTGGTTACTGGAGCCCGTGGACATCTACAACGTAAATGCGCCACCCACCTTGAGATATAAGTTCTAAGATCTCAGTATAGTTACAACGGCTGCTCCATTCTTCAAACCGAAATGCATTACTGCTTCACGGCAGAAATAGGCAGGGCGGTGGTACCTACCCGTGCGGACTCACAAGAGGTCCTACCACCAGTATTTTGGCTGTGTCAATTTCTTTCAGAGCCTGTCTTCATTCGTAATATTGAGACGTAATATTATTCATTCGTAATATTCCACAAGCTAATAGTTTATACCTTATAGTGAGTGATAACAAACGCTCATTAAAGCCATGTCAGAGGCAGAGCTGCGAGACTGCCAGACGCAGACGACTCTTTTTTTAAATCTCTAGGTATCATAAAAAACGTGCTTATTTACTAATATCACAATCCAATATATTCTTCACTCTTGGTTCCTTCTAATTATAATTGAATGAGTGATTGGTAATAGTAAAGTGACGTGCCGTAGCCCGCACAGTAATCCACACGAACCTTCCGTTCCACGCTTATAAATTCTCGGCCCAGAAGCGAACTATCATTAAAGAAATTTATTATGATCGGTTTATAAATTACGAAAAAATTGTAATAATCAACGATAAATCTCGCCTAATCTCAATAAAGCGCGTCACCAGAGAGCCAGCGAGCCAGTGTCGCTCCGTGGGAACCGTCGCCCACACTACTTCATATAAATTCTATACATTTGTCATTCTCTTGTGTTTGTAAAGATTTGCCGAGAGATTGTATCCCATTCATATTTCACTTTGGAAACTTTTTACATATTATATTTTAAGTGTAATATTTATGTGCGTGCCTCGCTTGAGGTCAGGTTGCTTTCAATGTTTTTAGGCTTTAAAATATTTGTACCGTATCATGTTTTATATCAGTAAAGTTCACGAATAGCTATGAATTCAAAACTGAGTCAGCATCGATGTCTTTCATTTTCTGAAACTAAAGTTAATGTATAATTTAGCAAAATTTATAAGATAAATTAAAAAAATACCTTTGAAGCTTAACCAGTGCGATATTTTAAGACCGTCGCAAGCCGCTATACTAACATTCGCTATAAACGGATAGAAGCGCGCTTATAACGCAAGCTCATCGTAATAGTCCGTAACTATTTGTACCGGCGCTGGTCGCGCTGGAACAGACACCTCATTGATTATGCGAGCTGCGAGCCGGATTAAAGGCGAGCCATAAATAAGCCGCAACGAGCCGATCAAGAATCTTATTAAATTTAATGAATCGAAACGAACACCCCGTGTAATTAAACAGGCTGTTTTACTTCAGTTTCATGTCTTTGTGTACCTGAGTGACCGAGTGTCGGTGCTCACATTGTTCAACGCTTGTTTTAAATATTATATAGATTAATGTCTCATTTTCTTAATATTTATTATGTAATTAGAGTTTACATTATCTGCAATTACGCCCACATATGTGTGAATACCCTTTGAGATCGGTCCCACTAATCACACTATAATCTATTTGTTTTACATAGGCTCCATTTTGTTAATTTTGAAAATTGTTTAACGTTACATAAATATATTATGTTAATAATTTTCATTGACGCACGGCGTCTGTGCAGGGTGCACTAACTAACACTAACTAACTATCAAAAACTCATTCCGTTTCTGTTTAACGCAGCAAATGAATAATGATTTAGGATTTTTTAGTTTTTGGGATCAGTTTACTTAAATTGAAACGGCATTACTCAAGCAATGGAGCAATGTTCATAGACCTTAAATCGCAGCAAAACTTACACCTACATATACATATTATTAAGTACTATTTACATTTTATGAATTTAATAAAATCCGATCCACCCATTAAGGCGCTACTAAACGTAAACATTTATCTTCGTCTGCTCACAAGATGCAAACTCTTCAGCTAGCTTACCATATAAGTGCAAATACACAGAAATTAAGGACGATTATAGAATTAATCTCATTCCCAAAGCATTAGCGTCGTCCGCTGAATGCGTTCTCTTGGTGACTGCTGACTGGACGATTGACACTGAAAGGCTCCACATTAAGACGTTCCTGCGGGGTCGCGTCACGTGTCGCGTCACGCGTCGTCTGTGAGTTATGTGATGCGCCCGTTCCACTCATTAAGCAATTTTGATGTCACTCGTTTGCATGTAAGAGACCGAACGTGCTCGAATTGTTTTAATGCTGTTGAACTATTCGCTAGAGTTCAGCGAATGGAGGATTAGCTTTTTCTATTAGTTGAGAATCTCATGAGCTTTATAACGTTTTGTATTAACTATGAGTTATGTGGTGGTACTATGAGTGGTGGTGACTATTCACCATTAAGTGGCTGTATCCTACGACATGCCCTGCAGCTAAGTGTAGTCAACTGACAACAAAGCAGTACAAAGATGAAATAAGCAGATATAATTTTGCTTTAAGTTTAATACTAGGGTATTAAAGTGCTGTGTTGGAGCTCGCATTTCTACCAAAGATAGGAGCAAGCCGTATCATAACTAGCACATACGGAGCTTACACCAAATCACCTAACTATGTAACGCATGTTCCGGATCAACTTCCACAATTTAAAAGGATTCAATTACATTACACATGACATGATGGCAGGCACGCGTTACGTTGTGTCTTCCACCTGATATTCCTAATCTAGTCTACGTGTAAAGTTGTCGCACAAAAACAAATATCGTGAGTCCCGTTACAGTTCAGCTCTATAACAATGGACATGAATTCATTTTTGGCGCATCTAAGTCTGATCTTTGCGAGTCCGCGTGTGACCGATCGTCACGTCGATCTGCCACTCAATTAGGAAGCGATGTGTAACGCGCGCCCTCGCCCGCCGGGAACCTTCCTATCTACGGTTTCTAATCTCGTGACTCACCGCCTTCGTCAAATTGTGGGTGACGGACTGCTAGAATGTTCGCGATGGCCTATCAGAGAATTTTACTTTAAATTTTATGTTTTTTGAACGAAGTTCCTTATGGGACGATGCGGAGGGGTACCCTAACCGGGAAAAAACGTCCGTAACGTAAGATTTTTTTATTTTTTTTATAACACGATAGTATTTGGTCAGTTTGTTTGTCACAATGTAATCTCAGGATGAACATAGGTCACCGTCAGTCAATACAACGCTGTACGGCGTGACCTGGTGTTCAATGGTCATCCAAACGCTCTGACATCACAAAGCCTTGAATGCCACTAATAACCCAGCACTTTGCGTTAAGTGGAACTTATTAGGGTTCATGATTATTTCGCGGTAGAAATAGTTAAAATAATGAAAAGTACGTTTTACCGATGCTTGCTTCGGTGGGACAGGAACCTTATACGATCAGTAGTTCATTAAGTTGCCCAGGCGGTGAGTCACGTCCGCGTCGCGTCTTCATCTCGTGTCGAGACGCAGCTGGGGCACGCTCTGCAATATATTTTTTTCGTTTAGGTATGTCAACGAGCTCACAGCTATCCTGATGTTAGCGGATCACCGAAGTCCACGGACACGCAGACCCATAGTAATGGCAGTGCGAATGCCATCATTCAACTTGAGACACAGAGGTCTTGAGCTCGAAGTAACAGTTGTATAGCGACTGTTTACCGCTATCAACCATCCCTCAAACTGGAACTGGTAGCATTCTGTATTCCTTCATCGTGGATGTCATCATACGCATGTATTAGGCCGATACATGTTTGAACACCGGCACCGTGGCAATTACAAAAATTAGATTCAGAGTTTGAGTGCATGTGGCCTTGTCGTTGCTCTTGTCTACATCTAGCAGCTATCGTTCGCGGAATACTAAGCCGTTACAGTTATAACATAATAATGTCCAGCGGCGCGTTGGATATAACTCATTTCGATGTTTTTAATTAAAAAGTTCTCAAACGTTTCACATTGTGAATGTAATTGGATAGGTAAATGTGAACATTCATATTCAAATCGTTTCGCGCAAATCAACGCGATAGCAATAAATGCAAATTGCGTCCCGAAATATTGTTGTAATCTCAAGTAATGAGGCTTCGTTATTTAGTGCCGAGAACGCACCGGCGCCCGTATCTCCGGGCAGCTCCACCACAATCACATATTTTACGCTTTTGTACGAGTTTAATTGAGTAAGAAGAGACTGGAAACCGCTCGCAGCGGGAGGACATCCAAATTTATTTAAAATTCGCGNGCAATAAATGCAAATTGCGTCCCGAAATATTGTTGTAATCTCAAGTAATGAGGCTTCGTTATTTAGTGCCGAGAACGCACCGGCGCCCGTATCTCCGGGCAGCTCCACCACAATCACATATTTTACGCTTTTGTACGAGTTTAATTGAGTAAGAAGAGACTGGAAACCGCTCGCAGCGGGAGGACATCCAAATTTATTTAAAATTCGCGTAAGACTCCCATTATTTACGTGATGAGTCGGCCGCAGCCCAGAGCCCGATGTTAAGTGTGAGATACGGCCTTATTCGCTCTGACCCAGATGTTGGCCCGACTCTTTATGATCACTTTTTTGAGATATTTAATTTTTAATTCCGCGCGGGACGAATCGGTTCGACCCCCATATGATTTTTTCAAGTGTATCGCGCATCAATTACTCGCGGCTTGCGGAACTTTGTCGATATTTTATTCTCAATTAATGCGCACTTGTAACACGAAATTGGCTTCGCTGTTTTCTTACGAAAACTGTACGCCCTGTTATAATATCCGCTGGTAGCGTGTCAGACTTTATGACGTTACACAACACTACATTATGAGGATGTTTTATTGAGGTGATGTTTTTGTTTGTTGCAGTCGTTCTTCGGGCGCACGTACAACAACCTGTCGTCGATCTCCGAGTGCAAGAACAACGGCGAGTGCGTCATCAACAAGAAGAACAGGACGGCGTGCAAGGCGTGCCGCTTACGGAAGTGCCTTCTAGTCGGAATGTCCAAGTCCGGCTCTCGGTACGGCAGGAGGTCCAACTGGTTCAAAATCCACTGCCTTCTCCAAGAGCAACAGCATCAACAGATGCAGCACATACAAAATAGAAAATCTCCACCGACTTTCAACACCTCCATGAATGCATCTTTCTTGCCCACAAACTTGCTTCCGGCTGCCGCCCTCGCAGAATATTACAAAAATTCAGAAAAGAATCCCTTCACAGAAGATGTGATGCGGCAGAGTGTTTCACCTTCAGATTCCGGAGCATCTTCCGCGGACCCCGAAGATGACAACAGTTCAAGAAGCACTAGTGGCTTGAGCATCTTCCGACCGGCATCGTCACCGCTTAGCGATAAAGATGTCAGATTACAGGCCATTAGGAATCAAAGTAAAGATGTCAAAAAACGAAAACCAGCCTTGCCCTCTCCGTTCAGTTCTATGTCAGCATCACCAAGCTTTTCACCCAGACCTTTCCTTCCAGTGATGCAAAGACCGATTCCACCGGCGGCCACCACGTGGTCGAACAGAAATGGTGGCGACTTGCTCCTACACTCGCCAGCCGTCGCGGGGGTGGCGATAGATCAAGACCAACCGATTGATCTATCCATCAAATCGACCGCAGTGCTAATTAGAAGCCCCAAAAATGACGAAGTGAGCGACTCAGAGCCCGAACTGAGCATCGACTTGAGCGAATCAAGCAAAGACATGATGAAGAATCCTCTGGACCTTTCTCTTGTTCCCAAAAGGAATGAAGAGCTTCCATTAACTGGTTGAGCTACTCTAACCGGGGACCCGATGTCATCATAATGATGTGTACATAGTTAGCTTCTTATCGTATAATATAGAATACTCTGCCATACAGTATTTAAGATCTGTACATTCCTTCTCTTCCTACCTGACGTGTTTTACGATACTCAAGTGTCTGATTAAGTTGTAGACAGTTGACGGCATTGTGCTTACGAGTAACATGTCCTGAAATTTTCCTTTAAGTAGATAGGTTTCACAAGCTGCACCATGCTAAACTAATTACTGTACCATTTGTAATTGTACAACAAGAAGTAGCAAGTGCTCTTGCGGTCGTTATTGTGATTCCGTTAGACATACATACATATTTATGTAAATATGTGTAAGTGAATTTGTGAAAACTTGAAATACTCTCGTTAATAAATAAATACTATCATTTTAACCAAACAAGCCAATGCTCACATCGCCCGGGAGGTTAATATGAATTAAAAGAAACCATTGGGATATGGCGAGTTTTGATATGTAAATTAAAATTATGTATTTTATAAAATCTTTATTAAAAACGAGAGAATTTCAAGAGCACTAAATAAATACTAGAATAAGTGTCATGTAATGTGCCAGTGTTAAGTGCCAGTTTTTACCAGATTTTAGTTATTTAAAAATGGGATTAAGGCCAGTTGTAATGAAGCTCAAAATTAAATGTACAAAAATAATTGTTATGAATATATTATGATGTAAAAATTAATTTCATTAGCGGAATTATAAGTATTTATTTTTAGTGTAGGCCAGTTTAATCAGTCATTAAGTTTTATAATTTATGATTATTTCTGGATGAGTTTTTTAACACGATTTTAAACATGGCTCCTGAATTAAAGAGTCTCAAAGAGTCGGTTGTTGAAGTTCATGTGACATTCTCAGATTTAGTTTAATCGTATTGCTTGCTACCTGCGTTGCGTTGCGTTGCGTTGCGTGTTATAATATTGTTGTTTGTTGCTAGTATAGTTGTTGGAGATTTTTATTCATTCCTTTGAAATGTTCATGCCAATACTAGATACGTAAAATGTGAATTTTTAATAGGTAGATCTAAGACTAGGACCATTTCAAGTTATATTCAGAAAAAATTAAAACTACTAAAACTAAAGTAAATTTTAGAATTTTGTAATAATTATGTGAAAGTAATTATTTCAAAATTAGAGGACAAAAATATTTATTAGGTAATATTTTTGGTTGCAATAGATTTACGTGTTTGAATAAAAACTTAATGCTTTTGCAGAAGAATATAATATATACATACTATATACGGTCGATGAGCTATGGACCTTATCCTATTGAAAACACATATATGTGCCAAAAATTGTTTGAGAAATATTTAGGTTCTGATTTCTGCGTGGGTTCAGTCAAGGTTTAAGCTCAAGCTCAAGTAATGTCATATTATAAATGGTGAGTCTGAGATAGTTAATTAATTGTTGTTACTGTGTGATACGATATTTTTATAACCGTTTACATTTTTATGTTTTTTAATAAGTAAATATTAATATATTTTGGAAAAATAAATAGTTGTGAATTCATTTTTATTGCGTTGTTTTATTTGACTACGACATATCGTTATTATCAGCCCATCTTCTCTATTTATCCAATGTCAGACACACACTTCCAGAAACACATACACAAATAGCTGAATTCAGATATCTTTTTCTTTAAGTTTGTTGTCACCATGTTATATAAAATATAACTCTTTTTTTATGAACCGCAATTGTAAAATGGGTATTTTATTCTTTAAATTGAAATAATTATTATTCACACTAAATCTTTTTAGTATCATGGATATTGAAGGTATGTTCGTCTAGTTCAGCGGTCGGGGAACTTTTTTAATTATTACCCCAAAATATTTTTGCGTAAGTCGATATTACCCCATGGCGAAGAACAAAAAAAACGAAATCGCTTCTTTTTAGCATCTTTCATATTATAGCCCCCATTATAATTTCGTAAAGAAATTTTATTTTTCGTTTCATTTCATTTAGTTTCATCGAGTTTGAAATCACAACGATTCTAAAGAAGTTTCACTTCAATATATACTTTTTACTCACAAAAGTTTCATTTTTACCCCCAAAAATTTCATTTTACCCCATTTGGGGTAATTTACCCCGGTCCCCCGACCGCTGGTTTAGTTGAACGTAGCAAACGTTGAACTAGAGGTATTCGGGGACATTTTACAAAAAACATAATGTTATTTTTTTCTGAATTTATATATTAAATACGATTTCGTTTACATCTTCACATTATCGGTCTGCAAGTGAGCAAACGGGTCCGCCTGTTGTGAACTGGTTACACAAACCACTAGACATCACAACCATCGTAACCGCTGCCATCTTAATGCCAATGCCAATAATGTCACGCCAACAACGTAATTGTTACCAGTATGTTTTCAATTGAGCAAGCATGGTTACTTCAAAAGAAGGAGAAGAAGAATAGGTAGAAAAGCGGTGCCTAACCGCGCAGGCTCTACTGATAACTGATATAACGGCAAATTATAATAAAATTTTATGGTTGATTTTACTACTGCTTCGACAGACCTATCGAGAAAACGTTGCCGTAGTGGACGAGGATGTCATTTACATTGTTAGAACAATAGAATAGATTGAGCAATCTTATATTGAATACATTCAGGAAATACTCTTAAGTTCACAAAATAAAGTCTTTGTTTATGAAGATCTTTCGACAGTGTTTGAAGCCTCTAGGAGAGATGTTTGTTTATAAATCTAAACCTAAGACGAAGCTCCAGTGAGAGCGCATGAGAATAAACAAAGTAAACTCTGATTAACAATTCAGATGTTCCTCTCACAGAAGATAATTCCAAAGGCAACCAAAAATAAAAACGAACACCCTAAATATTCATGAATTCCTGTTTGATTTGAGCGCTTCCTACCATCGCGTTCCCATCCGAGCATTTTTACAGAATTATTCATGAGCTTGTTGTTGAGCTTGCACCACTCTCCACTAATTTCAACTCTCAATCGTTGAGTCTAAATATTATTTTGTCCAGCAAGAGTTTCGTTTGGTGCTGCCGCTGTGATATGCAGTGCTGCTACCGTGAACTACTGTTTCCTTGATTCAATTCAATGCCCGATCCAATACGAGTGAGTTAACGTTATTTAAATTTGAATAATGACTAGTGATGATTTTTTTTTACTTAGACAGGCGGACAAGCTTACGGCTCACCTGGTGTTACATGGTCACCGGAGTCTACAGATATTATCCCCGTTAATGCCACCATCTACCTTGAGACATGAGTTCTAAGTCTCAGTTTATATAGTACAACGGCTGCCCCACCCTTCAAACCGAAACGCATTACTGCTTCACGGCAGAAATAGGCAGGGTGGTGATGCCTACCCGCGTGGGCTTACAAGATGCATTAGATTACATTATTGCTAGATGTATTGCATCACAAGATTTTACGTAAATTATAATTTTTGCGGGTCTTATTTTTATTAGACGATGTTATTCCTTCACCCTGGAGGTCATCCGTGAAAATTCTTTAAGTACCTGCCAGCGAAATCCGTCTACCGGCACAGTCGCATCGCTCGCATACGAATACAACAGGCATCTCATCCCTTAGGCAGCTTAGGCCGTGACGACTTCATCTGTGGACACAACACGCACAGAGGGATTGTTCGTATTTGTAAATCCATAACGATTAGATCGAAATGTGCAGGAGTAAGTTTTTTATATTACGCACATAATTGAGATTTCTATCCAACGTTTACAATTTTCAATCAGCCAACTACAAATTGGGATATTTACTACCATGTACCGACACGAAAAAAAAAAAAAACATTCAATTAAAACCAACAACATAATGTTCAGATATGTTTAATAATTTACTGTAATCTTTAAAATATGTTTCAAAAAAGTGGTCCCTAATTTGTGACACTCTGCGCTCCACTTACTTTTTATGGAGTCGGAATAATAAATCCTTAACAATCTAATTGATGTAATTATATTTCACTGTTCCAATTCTGACGCCAACAATCCGTGTACAAATTCGAGTTTTAAGTGCAAGACTTAAAGTATATTTTCTTTTGTAAGTCATTAGGTTTTCGTCATCCAATTTAATTGGAGTTATGTGGTAGTGCAAAGTAACAAATCATCATTTTTTGGCGAGAACCTTTCATCCCCGAGCTGCGACCGGCGCGGCGTTTCGGCGCTGAAAGAAATGTAACTCGTTAACTCACATAATGAGAACTATGCATTCTTTTGCCGTACGTACTGGTTGTAACAAAATTATAATGTTCCGACTATGTATTGAATTCATTTATCGCGAATTTTTTCTTGCCTTAAATTGTGTTATCTGATAGTACTTTGATATAAAATGTTTTATTTCCACCAGCAAAAGATGTCCAAATATTATTTTACTAAAGTACAAATAAATAAAAGTATTACGTTTCAGTTGTGACCTCACTTGCAAATACAACCACCTGAAAATCGGTTTCCTTTATCGAATCGATCGATCTCGATTGAAATGATAATTAATACTGTAGAACTAGTCAGAAATACATAGTAAGCAACAGATCGTTCAAGTTTAAGCTACTAAATACATTACCATTAGTTAAATTCTCTACTCTACATATCAACTAGTATATACTCGTATAATAATATGGATATTTGCACGACGACAGTAAAGAAAAAATTGTGCACATCAGTTCCAACGCGCATCCCGAGGTTACTCTGTAAATGCAATTGAATGTTACAGACAGACAGACTGTACAATTGACTTGGGAGATAAATAAAGGCATCAGTAATAATACTCTAATACTACAATTTTGGTACCTGCCCGAGGGCTTTGTACACCAGCACAGTCGGGTGGCTCGATACGAATGTACCGGAAGACTTATCCTTTAGACCACGATCACTTACTTGTGCTCAGTTTTATTCAGATTTATTTATACTGAATCCATATAATATTATGCATAAATCACATTGCATAAATAATACACAATTATCCTACCATATCTTATTATCTTCAGGTCTACATAATATGTATATTACTGTGCTACGAAAATTATGAAAAATAATTCGCTTAGATAGTGATAGTATGAGCTGTTAAATTAAAATTGACTTTAAATAATATAATAATAAAATGAATAAAACTGTTATTTTAAGCTTAATTTCATATTAGTATAGCTCAATATGTCAGTTTAAAAACATAGAAATACGACAAAAGTACATATAGTTCGAACACTCGTCTTTCCCATATTGCTGTATACCATCCTGTTGCTCAGAAGCCTCACAACGATTCTAAAGAAGTTCCACTTAAAAAAATATTTACAAGTCACTTTTATTCAGCTTCTGACTGTACGAACATCTTTAATTTAAAGTTCTGAACTCGAATAAGTAAGCAGTGTGCGCTAATTGAGGCAGCACGCCGGCACCTGACACGCCCTCGTTACACCTGACAGCTGATTTATCGAAACGTCACCGCACGCACACAAACCAGAGCAACTCACAAATTCAATTGAGTTTTTATTGTGACCGTACTTCGAGGACACGCTACGTTGAATCCTTCACATTTACTGAAAAACAAATATGAGCCGACCTCAGCTGGATGAACATCACGGTTTGTCGCAGCTGAGTTGCAGCGACCTACTTATACTTTAGAGCTAGTTTTTACCGTGACCAATTCTTTTTGCACTCGTTTGTCACACGAGCTCACGGCCCACTTGGGGAACTCTAAAGACATCGGCAGCTAAATATCACCACCAAATTTGGTACCTTCAGTAAAAGTTTCAATTTGATGTTATGTCTGGCTATCTACTGGCCAAGTCATTGGTAACCAGAAAAGCTTCACTCCTTTTAGTTGGTGGTACCTTTTTATGCAGGACACAATGCATACTACGCCCGTTGGCTCTACACGGAAGAGAGCTCTAGAGATTGATCTTCTGGTAGCAGAAAACAATACTCCCACTACTTTGTACCGTACGTACGTTTTGTAAGGGCATCAGTAAGGGTGCTCTGAGAAAATTATTGTTCTGTCTCATACTTTATACCACACTAGAGCAGGGATCAGCCCCGCTGCGTACATCCACATTAGATAGTAAGAGGCCACGTACTACA